CTCCATCTTATCAGGCCTTCAAAACTAATATCTGAGCATCCCATTCACCCATTAGTCCTAAAGACTTTAGTCCCCTCATTACAGTGAGGAGATAAACATATATAGTGATAATTCCATCCACATACACCCACAGGACAATCCTATGACTTTCTATTATCAAAAAGTATGTGGTCGCAGTAGCTTCAAAGGAATGGGATGCATCAACAACTCCTTTAAAAGTTCAAATGATCATAACAACCATCTATCAAATTTTCCACAAATAAGGCCACCTAGCTCCTCAATTTTGGCATTATTTGACACTTAACTATAAGCCCAACAAACCAACAGATCACACAACACTTATAACCTCTTCAAACTAAGATCAAGATAAGTAATTTGACATAAAAGCCTCAAATCATGATTTCACAGCTGATTTCAAAAAATTACAGCAGTCCGAATCATATCAAATACAAGATCATGTCTTTATTCGCAATCACAATGTTGTCCCCATCAAAACTCCGATCAAGGATTGCTTTCTAATCCACTCATAAGCTTCTTCTCTCCAAATACTTTCACACTGGACAAATCACACATAATCTCATTTCCATCTCTCAACTTGCTTCTGCTAATAATAACATCATTTTGTTTGATGCCTCTAGCTACCAAATCAAAGATCAGACATTGCAACAAATGCTACTCCAAGGTTTCTGTCATGATGAACTCTATACCATTCCCATCCCCAAGCAAGCCATGCTATTGAAAACTACTACTAATGTCTAACTTCATAGATTCGGTCATTTTAATAATGATGTATGTCTTCTTATTTTAAAACATCACCCCTGTATTTGTATTCCAAGACATACATCCTTTTGCAATTCATGCATTACAGCCAACCAACAAAGGCTACCTTTTCTTCTTCTAATAACCAGACCTGCCATCCCTTAAAACGCATCCATACGGATGTCGTGGCACTATTCCCACATAACTCAAATCAAGGTTTTTAGTTTTATGTACTTTTTGTTGATGCATGGGTGTTTAGTCCATAAATTTGAAAATCTAACACACTTCATAAAGTTCAAACAATAATTGAAAAGCAATTCAATGATCACATAAAATGTACAAGATCTTATGGTGGTGGGGAATTCAGGAGCTAACAATTTGATAAGTTGTGGCTGCACATGGCATTATTTATTATTTCTTTTACCATTACACACCCAAAAAAAAAAAGACATAGCAGAAAAAAATATCAAAATATCCTAGAAACTGTGAAAACCCTATGTGTTGCATCTAACTTGCCACTAAATACCTTGCCAGACACCAAACTAACATTTGTCCACTTAATCAACTGTATCTCCTCTTAAAACACTCTAAACTAATAACCTCTCAAGTCCTACACAAATATCCACCTGATTATAAACATATTCAGGCATATGGATGTCAATGCTTTCCTTGGTTTTCTCCCTCACATCAAAGCAAACTAGATCAAAGAAGTGTGCAGTGTGTCTTTATAGATTATTCAAAAAATTTCGAAGGCTATAAAGGCTTCCATTCTCAAAGTGGCAAGTTTTTTATATCAAGACAGTTCTGCTTCAACGAATACTTGTATCCCATTTCAGCTCCACTTCGCTTCATGTATCCTACTTGTTATACCTGCAAGAAAAACACAAAATTATCTTTTTTTTAAGTGCAATTTTATCTCTACCAGTTTAACTCAGTCCATACATCAGCCAGCAAACTCCTCAACTCCTCTAAGTTCATATTCACCTCGAAGTTTAACTTCATTTCCTTTAATGATTACTTCGGTAATACCCCCCTTTTAACATCACATATACACTCTAATGCTCCCATTATTCAACCAGTTCTTCACATGACCGCTAGATCTAAAATAGGTTTGGTTAAAATAAAAAGCATATTCACACTTCATCATTCCATTGCCAATGAAACTAAACCACTTAACTTCAATGAAGCCAACAAGCATTCACACTGGTGGGAGGCCATGAATGAAGAGTTTGATGCCTTACAAAGTCAGGGAACATGAACATTGGTTCCTTCCCCGATCAACCATACTATTCTAGATAGTAAATTGACATAAAAGATAATATGCGTCGATCCATGGAATCATTGATTGGTACAAAGCAAGATTGGTCACACATGTGCTGAGTATATCCCCTTACAGAATTCCCTCCAAATGTTCTCCAACCTCTCTAAGAAAGTGGAAAATACAAAGTCCTAACTATACACTACAACTCCTCTACCTTTCTTCACTTCCCAAAGCTTCAAAATGCATTCCAATGCTCCCTCAAACAGCTTAAATCCATCCCATAACTTCCCAAGTCTTGCTAAAGTAACTGTAGAAAACAACCTAGGAACTGGCCAGCGCCTTAGTGCCGACCTCTTGGTTTGACCGACTGGGTTCTGGAGCCTAGTCGCCCACGAAGCTGGCGCCATGGCTCTTGGGTGGAGCGTCTTGGAAACCAAAGGTTGGGGCCTAGGCGCCAGTCTGTTGGTTCCAAGATTCTCCATTTCGCCTCTGCTTCACTCCATTTCAGCTCCACTTCGTTCCATGTATCCTATCTGTTATACCTGCAAGAAAAACATAAAATTACCTTTTTTTTTAAGTGCAATTTCATCTATAAACAGGTGCAAAATATAAAGGAAATTAAGAATGCTTTAGGACACATCACTTTCCACCTCCATAGCTTTTCTAGCTTGATTTTTAACATGACTCCAATATTCTATATCCACCATATTTAAACACGACTAACAAATATGTGTTCTCTTCTATCGTTGAAGTTATTCTAATAGTCAGATGAACAACTTAGTTTTAAAATTCAATCCAGTGGTTCTTGCAAAAAAAATAAAATAACATAGTAAAAATTGCTCCAGAAAAAGCTAGCTTAACACAATAAAAACATTAATAAAAGGGGCACTTATAGAAATATTACAATCAATCAAGACAAAAAATAAAAACAATATGTTTTTACATGTGAAGCTGCAAACAGAAATAAAAACATAATCAAATGCAATAGATATACAACTTTTGTAACAAAGGTGCATATATCTAAAATAGATTCTTTCGATTTTTGTATATCATCGACACCATTAGCACAACAAAAAAAAAACTGCATCTGCAATACTCACAATAGTTTTTTCTAGATATTTTTCTATAACAATTTATCAACCAATTATACCAACAGCAACAACCAAATTAGAATTTGTTAAATCTCAACGTTTGTTAAAATTTAATGAAATTAAGAATTACTCATCCACAGTTTTTTTTTTAATCTTGAAACGAATAACCAAATATTTATCAATATTTAATAAATTTTTGTAGTAAATAAATATGAATCTAAATGATTCACAAAATCTACTTGTAGCCAACGAGCCTCTAAATCCCATACGTCAAGTCCTCTATTATAACCAGTCCAAAAATAACTAGAAGATCCACATTTCCATTGAAAAAACTGCATTCATTTCAATTTCCTCTCAAGTAAGAACGTCTTCCTATTTCAAAAGTTCACCTTTATCTTCCCCAATCCAAACCAAGTGGTCTTACACACAATACTGACGCTAGGATTCCTTAACCTTGCTTCAATGTCTTGCATCTATTACTAGGAAGGAAAACTTAACAAAAAGTAGGTCATTGAGGTATGAAGCAATATTCAACAAATACATGAATAAAACACCTAAACAAAAGCAATATTCATGAATAAAACAACAATACTGTAGCTCTTTTGTGCCCTCAATACATGAATAAAACAACAATTCGGCAAAATGCTGAAGCAAATCCAAACTATAACTTTAAATTTTTAGGGAAACTTTAAAATTAATTTCTTTTCATCTAATTCTCTGATAAGCCAAAACAAAAACAAAATTTACCTCTGAGAGGGGCTTCCGGTGCTTGGAATCTTGGTTGGCCACTTCTTGCTTTAAATTCTGAAGCATATCATCAATCTTGCATAAGAGCACAGATCATAGAGGTTAATATCAACAAAAATTAGTTTCCAGCAACTACATGTCATTTAAGACCTTTGAAGGAATCCCCAAACAAAGCACGCAGTGCGTCACCTTCGGTAAAAAAGTGGAGCAGGGCAAGGAGAAATGTGTGACGCTTTCTGTGAATTGAGCGGGACCGGAGCTCAGAGTAGAGCAAGGAGAAAGGATTTCGATGTGACCTTCGAGTTTTAGTGAATGGAGCAGGAAAACGGAAGGCGCAGATTTTAGTTGTATCAGTTCTTTTCAGAAGAAGCTCAATCTACATTCAGCACAATTAATGGAATCCTCTACAAATCTGCATCCCAAG